CAGTTCTCCAACAGGGTTAGTAAATACTCTAGTCGTCAGCATGGAAGCCACCTAAATGAGATCCGTCATCAGATGATTACATGTACATATCGATTAAGGAAAAGCAAAATTGAGAATTCCCCTAATTCTTAATATTTTTCAGAAATGACAGCTGTATTAAAATAATCCCATGTACTTATATATAATATAACTCATGGGTAATTAAAAATTTATATACTTCATTTTAATGTTCCAAGACATAAAGTGTTAAAATAAATGCTATCCAAATAACAAGTAACATGATGTGAGTGTCTGTATATGTATGTGTACAGTGATATTGAATGTGTGTGTGTGTGTGTGTATGTGTGTGTGTGTATGTGTGTGCACATGTTTTTCAAAAATAATTTATAAAATTGAAGCCATGTATGTGAGAATGAGTGGGAAGTCTGAATATCTGGAAGTTGTGGAAACAAAGGATGGTAGTGCGTAATTCATGTACATACAGTTTTCATATATGAAATAAACAAACTTATTAAAATACACAGTCTTCCTCATTTAGGTTTTTATAAATAATTATTACTTTTAATGAATAACTATTAATCACAGCAAATGTACCAATTATTGAGAAAATTGTTTTTGAGAAAATTATTCTGGACTAGTTATCACTTAATGCTTTTATGATACAACTCTTGACTCCTATTTTAAATATTGAACTCATTTGATAAAATGTTGAGACACATTTTCACAAATTCTCTGACATTCATACAAAAATATTATCTCCTATTATATGTTATCCTTGTACATGTTACATATCCATGTAAAACACTCATTAGGTAGTTTTAAAGGATAGAAATAGTTTTATTGCAAGAATAATCTCTAACAAATTTATGTGAGTTTCTCAGGAGCCATTTAAAAGATCACATTGATATATATATACTGAAATGTAAGAGACCTTACCTGTTGACAGTTAGGGAACATTCCCTTGGATTCTATCATTTTCTGAGACTCTACTTGTTGAAGAATGAGTTCATGGTAGGTGTGGGCTGCAGCATACATAGCATTATACAAATTGTAACCTTCTTCACTCAGGGACATGTCAAATTTGTGCAGTGCTAACCATTCCACTGTATTGTTGGATGTAAAATGATCCATTTTGCTATTGCTGTTCTTAGATATTGAACAATTAAAATAATTCCACCATAGCATACACTTACAAATGTCTACTGGGTACTTGGAAGTGTTCATTGTTTGCATAAAATCCCTTAATTTAGCAATCTCACTGTGGTGGTGTTCAAAAGTGACAGTCCCATGAAAGAAATCAAGGCTGAAATCTCTTTTATTTATGATGACATCCCATTGTGAGGTTGTGATCCAGATTCTCTTTGTACCTAAATATCTCCATTTTCTAAAGCTGACTTCTAGGGTAGAGTTCATTTCACCATAAATGATAACAACCCTTGCAGTTGATGTCATAATTTGTTTATCATATATCTTAGCCCTTGTCATGTATATC